TCTACGGTCGGGTTTGCACAGGAGCCTTTAGCCCTACCTCCACTTTCCACTTTGGTCGCCTCGACTCACACCCTACTGCCTTCCCTCCTTGGCTGGTACTCTACTACCTCCTCCCTCCACCACGTGGTGTTCCAGGGTTTCGGCCTGCTGCCTACCCGTGGTCGATCTTTGGCTGGCACCCTACTGCTGGGCGGCACCCCCTCTGCCAAATATCTACTCCTTCGGCCTGGCACCGTGGCCTCTGTTCTCGATTGGTGGGCCATGGTATTGCACTACTTCTGTGGCTTAGCTGGTTGGGAGTGCTCAGCCTTGGTGCTCTTTGCTGGCCACCCACTTTGGGGGCGGTTTTTTAAAAACGGCAAATCTGGTGGTACGGTGGGTAGTTGTTGTTTTCCTTTGTAGCTCTTACAGGTCTAGTAGTTTACGGGATAGAGTTTTTCCTTATGCTTTCCTGCCTAGCTTGTTTGGTTTCCTTCCTGTTGGCTACGTGTAGTTGGTGGGTGGGGTTTTCCTTCGGGTGAGGAATCTTCTTGGGCTTTTGGTTGGCTTCTAGGCGAGACCCTTTCGCATTCAAATTGTGAGGCCTGCGGGCTGGGCACCTGAGTTGATCGTCCTTGGAGTGTGTGTGGTTGGACCCATACCAGAGGGTCTTGGAGTTATAGGTTTTCTCTTGGTCTGGGATGGAGGGGTTTTCTTAACGCCATAGCTAGCTCTGCATGCGATGTTCTTGTACCTTAAACAACTAAATGATTATAAAAAAAAAAAAAAAAGGACCTCCAGTACACCATGCTTCATCGCTCCTATTTTCCTCCCACATAGTTTGGCACCACCATGTTGACTATCATGGGCTCCCCCACTCGCCTTTATTCTATCGATAGTTCCTACCTAAGGGTACAGTTAACTCTTCTATCCTCTCCTACCTTTGCCTCACTTGCCTCTTTTCTGCTTGATCAGAGAGTTATCTGGGCTTGTCCTGTAGTCCTGTCTTGCTAATGGGGGTTCGCTTAGCTTTCGCACTGTTAACTTCCTCTTTTCACTTCTGGTTGGTACTGGTAGTGATGGATGTCTTTCTCTCCACTTGCATGATCCCTATGGGAGAACGCCTTTGCTAGTAACTTCAGGGCTTGTCCCATAGTAAGACTGTCCATACCCTCCCAGTTGCCCGGTTTAAGTTGCCATTGTCTTCCTCCCCCTACCATTCCACTGCCTTACCACCGGTACGATCCCTTCCACTAAGTGATGCCATCTCTCAGAAAACAAGCGACTATATGAGAGATGCGGCAATAGGTTAATAGTTCAGTACTGGTTGAATTTGTCCTAGGGCCCTAGCCCTTTCTTCCTTTTTCTCTTCAGTTGTGTCAGCTTGTACCCTACTACTGTTAGCTGGTATCTTACAACTTCATCTTTTTTGCTGCTTTGGGCTGTCCCTTTGGCCCTCCCAGAGGGACAGCTTGGTGCTCTTGTTTCTCCAATACCTCTAGCTTACAGCCAGTCCTCTCTCCTTATAGTTTCTCCTGCTCACATCCATGGACTATGTACCCAAGATATACATTTATGTCATCTATGCGGCATAGCTTTTCATTACTTCAAATTCATGAGCATGGTCTGTCCCACAGTTTGGGCCTAGAATCTGGTCATCGTAGGCTAGGAGCTGGTTTCAGCTGGTAGTTTGGGCTTTGCTTGGTTTGTGTTTTGTTCTATTTGGTAGCTGGTGTACAGTTAGGATGGGAGATTTCCTTGCTTTGAAGAATGCATTTCCAAACTTTCTGTCTTTACTGCTTGTAGAGAGCCATACTGGACTGGCTAGAGTTTTTTTAAACCAAGGACTGGTTGGATATTAGTAGGCTTCATTATATTGCCCCATTTCTCAGGAGCAGGAACAAAATAACCTCAGTTAATCTCATTAATTGGGAAAAGAAATTAGCCAAATCAGACTAAAACTGACAGAACTATAACTTACTCAGTTTTGGTCTGATTTGGATGATTCTTTTTTAACTTAAAGTTAATAACCTGGTCTTGGCACTCCAGTCGTCGGAAACTGAGCCTCTAACCAACGCTAGATATTGGTGGCTCTAGGTGAGACCTCTCTGTGTTCAAGTCACAGGATCTGAGGATCAGGCACCTGGCTGCTGGTATTAGCCTTTCTGAGATCACAGTTTTTCTTCTCGTCGCTGGAGAACAAGGTGGGGAGGACATTTGGGTCTGCTTAGTATGAGATTGTAGGACCCCTGTACTTTATCTTTATGTTAGAATAGAAAATAAAAAAATAATAAAAAATTTAAAAAAAGAGACCTCCAATATAGCAGGCCCCTTGACTGGAGGATCCCAGAACTCACCCCCTGGGTGAAGACACCTCTCACTGGATGCTATACCCTACAGAGTTGTCAAACTCGTGGGCCTTCTCCCCTATCCCCTGAGCATCCGAGACCCTCCTTTCCTTGCCACTACCCCTTGCAGCCTCAGATGACTCCTCGTTCCTTGCCATCAAAAGAAGCTGTAGGCAACTACTACTCCTCCACACCTGAGCAAAACAAGACCCACCCCCTTCCCAATACATATACTCCCCCATACACACTTGTGCCCTACCTCTTTATAGGTCTCAGCAAGTTTATCATAAGATACATCCATCAGATGAGGTCAGGCAAAAGCTATCTGGCTAGTCACCGCTCCTGGAGAGACCTGAATACTTCTGACATCTATCCATACTGTGAGATGAAGCCAGAGACGTTCCCCTCATGCCATCCTTACCTGCCCTTCATGTGAGCACACCAGGAACCTCCACCTCCCAGGGGTTGAGAGCCTATGCGAGAGAGAGCCTCTCTAGTTGTCACTAGCACTCCTTAGCAGCCTGGCCGCCTTCATCCCCACCATCTCAACCGGTTTTCCCCATGAGATGCCCACTTTCAGAGATTGCACTCCTCCACCTCAGTCCACTCATGGTCTAGCCCTCATGTCTACTATCTCATTTTCTGCTTAGTTTCAGTAGTTGGAAAGATTTCTCTTAATTTACTCTTCTTTGTAAGAGGTTTCTATCGTTTAGGTTTGAGTATTTTTCTTTATCCTTATCATTATACATTTTGCGATATTGGCTGTTCACGATAGTTGGAGGTACTAGTATAGTTTCCTTTGTTTGAAATTGTTTTGGAGTTAAGGTTTTGTTTACGTCATAGCTAGCACTACATGTAAGTTCTTATACCTTAACAATGAATACATGATAATAAAAAATGACCTCTGGTACAGACTCCTCACACAACCCCTTAAGTTCTTTCCTATACTAGAAGTTGAATTAATACTTTATACTCTTCTTCAATAAAGCACTACATGAGAAAGAGGTCTTGCTTATAGGAGGTAAGGTGAGTATAAGACAAATATCATTATCAGAAGTGATAGTACCGATAAGAGTTCCTGGAGCTATTGAGATATCAAAGGAATGGAAGCAGTAAGGTTATTACCTGTTAAAGCACTAAGTAAGAAGGAGTAGGATCGTTACAATAATACTACTAAGTCTTCTCAACCTATACTATAGTTGGCTTCCACCTAATAAATCCTGAGTTTGTTTTATGTTTAATTGCAGTATTCTTTGTAATACTCAGATTATTTTATATTTGATTGTAGTATCAAAATTAATACTTGGTGTTTTTCATATTTAATTAAGGTATCAGTTTTGATATTTAGTTTGTTTTATATCCAACTACCGTATTGATTTCAAAACTCAACTTGTAACGTGTTCGCAAGGTGCTAATCACATTATCGGTAATTGATACAATAGTTGGCAGGTGGCCTGCTCTTCCAGAGAGGAGGCAAGAGCTGAAAACTAAAGGAGGCTTCGAGGGTGTACTGAGGAACAAAGAAGTAACCGTTCAACCAAGTATATTGAAATACTCTCTGTCGAAGTCTGCCTTTTCCATCGTGGAATCAGGTGGTCTTTAAATACACAAATCTGTTCATGTCTAGCATGAATTGAAACTAATCAAAGGTATCAATCCATACACTTTGGTAAAACTAATTAAGTATCAAGCAATACTTAAAACAAAATATAAAACAAAACCAAGTATCAAATGATACTTAAAACAAACCAAGTATTAATGCAATACTTAAAACAAAACATAAAACAAAACCAAGTATCAAACAATACTTAAAACAAACCAAGTATCAATGCAATACTTAAAACAAAACATAAAACAAAACCAAGTATCAAAGCGATACTTAAAACAAAACATAAAACAAAACCAATAACCGAGTACCTGTATCAGTTACACAACTAGATTTTCTCATATCTCTACTAATGTACTGTATTTTAGTTATAATTTTTCAGGACAAAATAGTCTCAAATTCTACTAAATTTATTTACTATTATTAGTATTTTGTATGAGTTATTACGATAATTGCTTTTCTAGTAACTTTAAAATAAACTACTAGGTTTTATTAAAATTAATATGTTACTGAATCATATTCTGTATAATAATTATTATTATATATTATAAAAGAATTACTTTTCTACCACATGCTAAAGTATGATAGGTATTATTATCTCAGGTGATAGGACTTTACTAGTAAATAATATAGAGTATTTAAAGCTTCAGTAATCAAGTTCATATATTCTAGTTCAATTATTAGCATTATTGGGTTCTTGTTCTCTCATCATACATCTGATATCCAGAGTTTTCATCCCATACTTCAAATTAGAGGTACACTTATAACTTAATGTTCCAATATCCCTTTACATATTGTTCTACTTAAGCTGCTGCCCTGTGACTCTTCTCTCAAAGAAAAGTAGCCTCCTTTATCATACCCACAACCCATTTAGCTTGTTGACAATAGGAAAACGTCCGGCGTGTTGCTGGGCTCTGTTATGTTGTAGTGTATAGATATGTATCATAGACTTCGCAGACACGAATATACAGTACTTAACTGTATGCTCATTTAACGGACACGAGTGGGCACATCTTATTTGCTCTAATACTAATGCAACTTTGCTAGAATTATATTCACCTAACTTCTTCCTATACAGTACAATAATATTATTGAAAACCACTTGCTCTAACCTTGCCGCTCCCGATCAGAAATAAACTGATAGAAAATCACAAAAAGAAATACACGATATCAAGTAGAAAATATCCCTTGTTCCATTCTGTCTGAATTCTTTCCCCTTTTTTCCGCGGTTGAAGGGAAGTAAGGAGGGAAAAACAACCAATCAACAAGCAAATCCGCTTACAAGAAACTAATTCGAGGTGAGTAAGCAAGGCAAATATAGCTAGGGAATGATCAAAACTTAAATAAGTCTCCTGGCCCTTTTTTCTTCTCTCCTGTGGCTATTAACGCATCTAACCGGCTCCTCAACGGTAAGTGAGAAGTAGAGAAGTAGAACAGGTAAAGAGAAATAGGGAAAGAAAAAGAAAGAAGAGAAGAGAAAAAAGTTAGGTAAAAAAAGTAAAAAAAAAAACTTCATTACAGAACATGGCTTCACCCTCACAAAAAGCTCTATTTCCACCCTTTCCTTCCCGTCTGCGCATTGCAGTAACCTTGAACCCATTTACCATTCCCTACTCCCTCGCCTCCGATACTTGCAATACCCGCAAAAGCCAACACCCAATAATTCCCCCCCACAATCTCAATCATACAATCCAGGCAACTAGTGTGATAAGCAGATCACAGGTCGATCAAATTCCCACCTTGCTGTTGTTGCTGCGGTTGGCCAAAGCCGGTAGGGTATGGATTCGGTTGCTGCTGTTGGCCAAAACTGCTAGTGCCATACCCGTTCATACCGGCAGGACCGGTGTGGGAAGGCAGGAGCCTGTTCGGTTGCGGGGAGAGGGAACTCCCGAACCCCGCAGAGTGTGGAACCCCCGTGAACTGCTGGTTAAAGAACGGGTTCGTTCCCGTGCTCTGGGCAGCGAGTGGTCGACCGGTGCGAGATGTGCCAGCGGAATTTACAAATGTTCCAGGAGCAGTATGTTGAGCTGGGATACGGAGGTTGCCCACATTCCCGTATGTGTCCAGCCCGTTGTCGTTACCTGCTGCGAGAAGACTTTCCAAGTGGGCGTGCTGTGGGTTGATCGGCTTCTCATTTTGCATAGGCGGGTTGGGGAAAGAGGGGGGTTTGTAGGCCTGGGCTTGCTGCTGCTGAAGTTGGAATTGCTGCTGCTGCTGCTGCTGTAGTTGCTGCTGTCTTTGTTGCTCCTGCAACTGCTGTTGTTGCTGCTGCTGCTGCTGTCTTTGTTGCTCCTGCAACTGCTGTTGTTGCTGCATTTGCTGTTGCTGCCGTTGCTGCTCCTGGAGCGCGCGCATCGAGTCCAAACTTGGCACAGGTGGAACCGTCGCAGCGTTGAAGTTGTTCATCTTTGGAGCGAATGGATTATTAGAGCCAGTGGGCAAGGGCTGGAGAGGTTGAGCAGCCGGGCCATTGGCGTAAGGGTTGTTATCACCGGGCTGCAGGAAGCTTGTCTGCTGAGGGCTCGAGGAAGGAGGCGGAGCATAGGGGTTGGCCTGGGAGACACTAAACTGCGCCTGAGATTGGTCATATCCAGTTGGCTGTGGGAATTGTTGCTGGGGAAATCCGGTCGGGTTCGAGTATACATTTGCTAGATAGCTAGTATTCTGCTGCTGCAACGGAGCTTGACCGACGGGATTCCCGAAAAAATCCACTTGATCAAGTTGCTGGTATTGTTGCGGTTGGTACCCGGCTGGCTGGAATGTCTGTGGTTGTGATTGAGTGGGGGTGGCATCATCAAACAAGGAATCCGCATTGTTCTGCTCCAGCTCCCTCTGCCTAAGCTCCTCTTCTTCCTTGCTTAATTTGATGGCTTTCGCCAGATCGTCGTCAAGGTCAGGTTGTTTGTTTGCACTCCGTTTCTTGTCCTCCTCAGCCTGGTTCTTGCTTGCTTCAATCGCAAGCCTATATTCCAAATCCTCTTCATCTTGCCTGCTGCTTGTCTGTGGGCCCGAGTTCCGATGCTGACGCCTTCGTTCCACCTCTTGGCGAGGAGGCTGGCCCTCCGAGGAAGCATAATCTTCGATACCTGTAACCCTAGATTTCCAGGACTTGCGGTCTTTACGCTCATTGCGCAGGCGATCCTCATCCATGATCAAAGAGGTGAGCTCTTTCGCGGATATTCGGACTATTTTCCAAAAACGTCAACGGAGCACTCCCGAAATAAAAAGAACCCTCGAGTTTGCACATACCATTCAAACCCTGATCCCTTCCATCCTCATCAATAAATTGAAACTCCCTTAGGGTCTTGATAATGTAGATGTTATCCTTCGCCCAGACGACAACGTGTTCGGAGCCCTCATGTAAACAATAATCCAGGACCTTCAGCGCCTTCAAAACATGTCTCCAATTCTTCCCCTTATCATTTAACCGCTTATCCAGCATGTCCATGATCTCGAAGAATTCATGTGTTCTAAAAACAAATTAGTAAACGAGCCGCATTAGTGAACCAGATACGTGGTAACAAAGTTTAAAGGTCATGGAAATGCTGCGGGGTCAAAGAGGCCTAACTCACGTTTCAAAAGTCATGCGAGCGATATCACTCATTTCTGTCCCTGTAGGACCCCATAGGTCATTGCTTGTAGCTAATCGCAGATTTGTCAATTAACGGGCCGTTTAAAAGATTGATTGCGGGAGTGTGGTGGTGGTGGTAAGTTACCATTTCGAACTTTGACCTGTGTCGAAGAATAGCCTTTAGTGACATTCTTGACGGTTCTAATGACTTTCGACATGAGCGCAGAGAAACTAGTTAGCTTAGCGACTGCGAAGGGTTGTGGTGGCACGGGCTGATCGCTCGAGGGGTCGGGATCCCGTTTGTCGTGGAAAACCGGTGGGCACACAAGAGATCAAATCCTCGCCGCAAAGAGCCGACCGGAAATCTAAGGAAAAATAAAAAGGTTCAGTAGAAGGAACCGCGACAGCGCACCGGGTATATACGGGATCGGGTTATTAACCTCAGTTTGAGGCGTTTGTAGTGCTTGAAGATACCGTAGAGAAAGGAATGACAGGTGATCTAAAGCAAGTCGGGGGTGTTGTTGTCGTAGTCGTCGTCACTCCTTTCCGGGGCGGATTCGGGCGAGACGATGGAATACTCGTGGTACAGTACAAGTACAAGCAGGCAGGGGCAACAAAAAAAAAAGGAACGGGAAAAGATGGATAGCAGAGAACTGAAGGGGAAGAGGTAAGGCGCGGTTAGAGCGAATGAACAGTCTCCTAAGACAGCGCTGACTGCAAAAGGAGGGAAGGGTGTGGGGGGGGGAAGTGCGGATTGATAGAAGGAGGGTAAGTGAGAAGGAGGGGGAGGGGGGCAGTGATCAAGGAAATCGTAAATTTACTGCACGACTGCACCTATGATACCGGTACTGCGCGGTCTTGGTTCAAGTAGGGTGTGTGGTTTCGATGAGGTTGGATGAATAAGTGGCAAAGATGAGGCTGGAGGGGATGTGATGAAGTTGGCTAAGCAGCTTACTTTAAGGACAAGCAAAGGTCAGCCCTCAAGTTGGTTAACGCTCTAGGGCGTGTGTGAAAAGATGTGGAGAAAGACAGTCTGCGGTACTGTGCCCGTTAAATTACCTGCGTTCTTGCTCTCAATGCAAGAAGGTGTTGCTTTCTAGGTATGGGTAGGTGAAGGAGGCGACCCACCATTCTCATCCAAAGCGGCGTGTGGCTCGCTCGCTCACCAATTCTATGAGTAAAATTCGATCCCCTTACTATGATTCCGGAACAAATGGTAGAGGGGGTATCTGGCGCCATCCCAAAGCTTCATTTTGACAGGTTTGCGGCAAAACTTCACCTCGCTTTGGAGTGGCATGTCTGGTTGACACCAAGATACAAATACCTTCCGCAAAGATGGCCATGAAGCTACTGTAGCATTGACTCATTGCAGGAACTTATGGCAGTCCCAAATTCAATGAGAACAAGTCTGTTTAGTAGAAATAACTATAAAAAGAGTGCGCCCCGAACGAACATGGTATCCACATACTAACATTGAAATTACAGTTCTTGGTATCTTATCATGGATTGGCCCAAACCACCACCACCAAGTTGTCGTTATTGTGGTTTCCTGTTTCAACTCACAGGTTGTTTGCAAGGTCTAAAAACCCCCTTGTTACCAGGCGCACACTACGAAACAATACAAGAAGGGCCAATTCGTCTCTTGTTTCCAGAGTATACCGTAGCGCATATCGCAATCTCTGCGCGAGCTTTTCACACAAGGGCCAGAAGAGGGTGGGAGGGCAAGAGGAAAAACTTCCAGTCCTTTTAGAAGGGAAAGAACTTCCTTCCCCCCCCAAAATTCCCCCCCAAAAGCAAGTCTGATTTTAGGAGAAACTTTTCGTCGACCTGCATCGGAAATATGATACTTACAAACCACGATTTTCCCGTCTCAGGACATGCTCTACATTATGTCATACTGTGCGGCAATGAGGCCTGGCCCATCACTCTGGTCGTGGGGGGGGACCGGGGGTGGGCAACAACTGACGGAACCCTGTGTGGCCAGTGCGAGCCTGTGCACGAACCAATATGGCGTAGGTTGTAGCCTAATGAGTACCGGTAGATTGACATGAACGGAATGTTTGGCTCGCCGCGATTTGGGATATCAAGGTTTGGAACTAACCAATCACAACATCAAAGTGGGATTATGTAAGCAGGTTTCATGCATTCAGATTGGTTTGTCCGAAATCTTGATTTACAAATTACAATTAAAATTTCAATATCAAATTAAAAATGGATAATACTTAGGCTAATGTTTTGCAACTTACCTAAATGTCCTATAGAATTAGTTAAAATGAGCCTGTACAAGTGAAAACCTGACTCTCAGACCTTGACCACAAAACATTTATTTTTACCTAACCACTTAGCTAGCCATGTAGAGTATATATCTGTTAGGCGGAGACAACTTGATAGACTTCAAGATTGTCTAGGCCAATCGAGATTCGTTTTTGTAGACGGAGATTGTCTAGGAAGGCTCGGACTTGGCTCGTTTCATTTATGACAACTAGGAGCGAAGCAAAGTAGGTAAAGTAGGGTAGAATCGTAAAAACAATATTATATGGTTAATGTCTCTTCTCTGTTGCTTGATGATATCTAAAGCTTGGGAGGCACTGCGATATTTATATTCCGCGTCTGAGTGTTCGCGGACTACATCTATTTATCATACAACTATGTACTTCTTTAACCATAATTCACAACATCGAGTTTTCTTCCAAGGTGCGAACACCTGTGGACCCTGAAAACCATCACACCCTCTTCGGTAATTACAATATTTCTTCTTAGGAAATGTACTGTCTCCAATAGTAATATCCCGATTAGCAGAGTCTTTAGACTTATGGCCTAGTTCTTAAGTTGAACTGAGTTGGCTCCAATTGTCTTCGCCATTGGTAAAATGATCAGTTTTATCCACGGCTATATCTGCAACGGTGGTCATCATTACAACTATCGTAGGTCGTCTGACTCCGATCCTTTGTAACTCCATAACCAATCGATAGATTTTCTTTAGATAACTTCCTATTAACTCGCAGGAAGCCACTCCACTAGACTGGTAATTAATCCCTCGGTCGGCAACCCTTGGTTGCTCTCTGGGTAGTAGGTTTCAGTAACGATTGTAGTATTGAGAATCACCCCATAGCTACGATGTATTCCGAAACCCAGTTTCAACACTCCATGAAGTTCATTGGCTTCTTTGGTAGTGTCTTTTGGAGTTCTAGACTCTTCTGGTGTATGTAAATGTATCAGTCTCTAGTAGAGGTCCTTTACCATTTGATACCATCTCTTTGTGCGAAATTGTCCCGTTACTTACGGCCCATGCCAAAGGTGTCATATCTTTGAAGCCTAGTAACTCTCTGAGTAGTTGACAGAATTACTCTGTTCCACTTCCCAGGCCTAGCCGAAGGTTCCCTCTCATATATCCTGCGAACAGGATCCGGTCGGACCGACGGCGACGACGTATATGGTGTTATTCTAATACCTTCAGTTCTGCGGTAATATAGTCACAGGACGCAACTGAGATTAATATATATGATGACATGCGTGCCCCGTAAGAGAGCCGGAGGGGGATGTTGGAGACCAGAAATTCCGATTCTGAGTGGGGTTACCCTACTTAGGGTAGTTCCTAGGTATTGGGTTCTGGTATTCCTAACAATATCTAATAGCTCAGAAAATATTATTGAAGCTCTAACAACCACTGTAGCAGCTTTTATATACAAAATACTCAAAACACTTACAATTGACATTTTACAATATAAAATCACTTTAGTCTCTTGTACTCATATTCAACCAATAATAATAGTTGAATATTGGATAGTTGTTGAACTATTTCAGTATATAGTAAATTGTTCTCCCTGTTTTATCACCACCCTGTACTGTAAAAAGCATGGCTGTCCACCTAATACAAATAATAAAAGATTAAGTAAAATATTATTAATACAATCTTTTTGAAAAATATTAATTTATAAACTTGACTAAGTAATACTAAACCGAATTTTCCTAGCTTTAGATTACTATTAAACTTTTTTTGGAATTAGGGAAATTGTCTAAAAAAATCATTGACATAAGACTTATTGTATCTCAAAACTTTTTTGACTTGGCTGCTTTGGTTGCAACTCATTTTCCTAGCTACAGGAAAAAAGCCTAAGTGTCAAGTTTTCAGTTTACAGGCTCAAATAGTACTATATTCCCTAAATAGTCTAAAATAGTAAATTGTACAGTTAGACAGATAAATTGAAAAGAATCTCAAATGAAACATTATGTGCTCAGATAGTATGCAAGATATTAAAATCAGGTGATTTTCTGGTACTCAGAAAAATGCTATTAAGTATACAGTTCTCTCTGTTTATTTAAAAATAGTGTTACATGTAGATTAAAACTAGAATAAAATTAATATAAAAATAGTAAATCAACCAAAATCTTCAAATAATTACCTGTTATTGTACTAACTGGTTAATATATTATAAGACTTTAAGTTGTTTACTTCGTAGTAGTATAGATATATTTAATTATTCAGTAACGGTCTCATATGCTATTAATATTTTCAAAAATCCCCTCAAATGCCACAGTACCCTCAGATGCCACAGGAATATATTATGTAAGTTTTGCGTCTATGTAAATTCAATATAAATTAGGTTTCTCAATGTACATTATTTACTTAGTCTTGGCACTAGTAAAGGAGAATTCCTATTATACAGAACAGGTATTTTCTACCTCACTATTTTTTTTTCTCTCTAACTCAACTTTGTTTTTTCCTCCACACTTTCTCCCCTTTCACTACTCCACCTTCTCAGTCAATCTACCTCCACCCTCCTTTCTCAGTCTTCTTCCTACTATAAAATATCTTGCAATCTACCACCTTTGGCAGCTCTTACTCTTTATATTCTAAGTTAAAAATTCTTAAAACGAAATAGTGTATTCCTGACACAGTATAGCTTGAGTGTCACAAACATGACTTAGCAAGGAAAATATTTTCAGATGACTTATGATTAGGAGTCATAGGTACATTAAGGTTTTCCTGCATATGACCATTTTAGTCATATGACTTGTTTATGTTATAATATATTAAGATAGGGATCATATCACATGGATTGTGGAACCCACCGATA